TTGGTTCTGGCCAGCTCAGTGGATTGCTTTAAAAAAAGGCCTGGATTCTTTCTTAGATACACAGAATATAACTGGATACTTACATTTATAGGTAAAGTTGATCCAGGGAATATCCGATTGCCTCTCGGGGGATCAGGAAGGAATTTTTTTCCCTGCAGGAGCAAAATGGAACATTCATTGCTGGGTTTTTTTTGCCTTCCTCTGGATCATCTGTGGGTATAGGATTATAACTTTTTTTTTTTTTTTTTTTTTTTTAATGTTTGAACTGGATGTACTTTTGTCTTTTTTCAGCCAGACAAACTATGTAACTATGTAACAGTGTTCATGTATTTTTGTACAACTACATCAGCATTCAGTAGAAATATATGCTTTAACTAGTAGATGGCAGTATTTATAGGTTTTTAGCTGCATATATGGTTAAACACTATGTCTTTTCTCAATAATGAAGTTCCTGTTTCTTGTTTGCAGAAAAGCAGCAGATAAACACATGTGGACGATACACTGTCTGTTGTGTAGGGGTATATACAGAATCTCTAACATTAAATGAACCTGGTCACTCATGGAGAAAGGAAAATGTCACATTACGTATTTCTAAACCTAAAACCAAAAATGTTTATTGGAGCTTACTAGCTCTTGGTGTGGTGGTTGCATTTATTTTCATTTTTCAAGCTTCTTTTGCTTTTTTTTCATAGGGTAATCCTGCACTCACTTCCTGTCCCTGGATGGCTTTGTTGCTCCTCCACTGTATATATGGAGGAAGCAATGGTTGTCACCCATGGCTGCTCTCCTGATAGGGGGTATGGTTGTGTTCAGAAGATAGCTAGGAAGGAATATATTCTGCAGTGCAGCTCACAGGAAGTGACAAGGACACTGCTTTTCGGGCAGGATTGACAGTTGTTTTATGTATTTGCTGAAAATGTACTTGGCTTGAAAAAAAAATGCAGTCAACATATCTAAGGCTGTAAGATGCAAGTTATTGTTTTTATCGTTCTTGGGGTCAGTTATCCTTTAAGGGTAAATAAGGCTAGGCCCCAGTGAGATTTGAACTCACGACCCCTGGTTTACAAGACCAGTGCTCTAACCCCTGAGCTATGGAGCCACTTTGCATTAAAGTGTACACCTTTGTTGGCCATACATGAGATCTTTCCAGGCTGCAGCAGGTGAATAGGAATAACATTGTAAACAATACAATATCCTGTCATTCATACATATCATCAAGTAACTGTTTGCTTACCAAATAAACACTTACTAAGGCATTAACATCCTGGCAGCCAAACATAATGGCAGGAGTGGCAAAGTGGACTGAGGAGACATGAGAAAAGGAGATGGAGGAAGAGAAAAAGGCATATATGGGCAAAGGTATGGGTCACTTAAAGTCATAGCAGCAATTGTGATGTCAGTAAAGTGAGACTTTAACTGCTTTAATGCCACCCTATAGTAGAACTACTGGTACAGGGTGACAGGGCTGCGCAAAATCACGTATATATATATATATATATATGTGATTTGCATTGGCGGCTAGGGATGTCGATCACCGGGTCCCAGCCAGAAAATTCCCCGTCGGCACCCGGCGATCGTTGGGGAAAGCTGACAGGGTGTGTAAACAGCAGAGGTCTCTTTCCTGCCAGCAAGGACATGCTGCTTTATATTTCTCTGCACAGCAGAGATACAAAGCATCGTGTTTCCCTAGTAAAAACACACACAGCACATAATGTCAAAGAGCACACAGTTAACCTTTGATCGCCTCAGATGTTAACCCCTTCCAGCCCAGTGCCATTAGTACAGTCAGTGCTTTTCATTAGCACTGATCACTGTATTAATGTTACAGGTGTTAGGATTTTGTGTAGCAGAATACATTTTGGCCTAAATTTATGAAGCGATGTGATTTTTTAAAATTTTTTTACTGGGTATGTTTTATAGCAAAAAGTAAAAAATATTGGGTTTTTTTTCAAAATTGTCAATCTTTTTTTTTCTATAGCGCAAAAAAAATAGAAAATGCAGAGGTGATCAAATACAACCAAAATAAATCTCTATTTGTGGGGAAAAAATGACATAAATTTCATTTATGTACAGCGTTGCATGACCGCGCAATTGTCAGTTAAAGTAATGCGTCGTATTGCAAGAAATGGCCTGGTCAGGAAGGGGGTAAATCCTCTGGAGGGCAAGTAGTTAATGTGATGTAGGTGATGTGATGAAAACGTCCTGAGAACAAAATTAATTGGGCAGGGCTTTATCAGTGATGAAACCGCATGGCCATCTTGGAAACCATGAAGTGTTTGGTTACCCGTAAGAAAGGCGACCCTATGGTGATTTTATGTGAGTGCACATAGTGAAATGTGCTGGAGATATTAAATAAAAAGGGTTTTACACTATATGTGGATATTTTTGGCATTATGGTGCTTAAAATGGTTGACCGGATCTGAAAGGAGGTTGGAGAAGTGGATTGAAAGTGCCAAAGCAAGAGGTGTTATTTTGGAGGAGAACAAATAACACCTTCTTAAAGCGTAGCTACACCCAAAAGGGGACGTTCCACTTTAACCACTTACCTACAGGGCACTTATACCCTCTTCCTGCCCAGGCCAATTTTCAGCTTTCAGTGCTGTTGCACTTTGAATGACACTAATAGAGCTTTCTTTTGGTGGTATTTAATTGACACTGGGTGTTTTATTTTTTGTGCTATTAACAAAAAAAGAGCAAAACATTTTCTTTGTTTCTATTATAAAATTTTGCAAACAGGTCACCTTCACTGATGTGCATTGATGAGATTTGCACTGATAGGCAGCACTGATGGGCACTGATAGGCGGCACTGATGAGGTGGCACGGATAGGCAGCACTGATGGGCACTAATAGGCGACACTGATGAGCTGGCACTGATGATGCTGCACTGATATGCAGCAATGATGGGCACTGATAGGTGGCACTGATGGGTGGAAATGACTGACAGCACTGACTGGTGGCACTGCTGGGTACTGACTGGTGGCACTGCTGGGGCACTGCTGGGCACAGGTGGGTGGCACTGTTGGGCACTGATGGGCACAGATGGGTGGCACTGAGTTCTGGGAGGACATCATATGACGCCCTCCCAGAACTGGACAACTGCGCTGTAGCTGTCATTCGGCTTTAGCCCGGTTGTCAAGTATTTAAGGACTGGTCCCCTGCTCCCTGTTAAGGATTGGCACCTTTGGAGAGCGGGTACCCAAAATAGACAGTTACCCGCTTCCACTTTCCTTGTGATCGCCTAGGGGATTGGAAGTGGAAGTTGTCCTCTCCCCCCTACCTCCCCGTAGTCTTCTGGGACACAGAAGACTACGGGACCCTTCACTAAGCGCAGCACTACTTGCGCATGCTCTTTGAGCACCAAGCTGTCACAGCCAGGTGCCCACATTGAAGATGCCTGCGCCCTGGAACACAGGGTGGCCGGTGAAACGGTCTGCAGGGAAGACACCACGGGATCGAGGAACAAGTAAGTGTCCATTTTTTAAAAGTCAGGAGATACAATTTTTGTAGCTGCTGATTTTTGTTTTATTTTCGCTGGAATTTCACTTTAATAGTTTAGGGGTCTAATTATCTGGTGAGTAGGGGCACATGGAGAGGCACTGTTTGGCGTGTTTGCTCACAGTTGCACATTTGCACAACAATGGCATGAATGAAAAATGTAAAATTATGTTTTAGTTTTATGTAAATGTCTCTATTTTTTGTGTCTATCCTTGAATATGTTTGTTATTGCATGAAATGTAGAGATTTGTTGATTAGGCTGCACAGAAGTTTATGTCCTGCGCAGCTGTTCTCTCCCTCCTCCTCCTGCTGACAAGACAATACAGATGCTGTCAGGCAGGAGATCACTCCACTGCATGGAATATACAGAGCTGGTGTTGGAACAAATGCTCAAGCAATTGGCTTCAGGACACAGCCTGGGTCTACAGGATTTTGAGATTGTGTTCAAATCCTAGACAGTGCCATGGAATCTGGGACAGCTGGGGAGTATAGATTATCCAAGAGAAGCAAGGTAGAATAGTCACTACAGCCCAGTTGCTAGCAACGGTTGAGATAAAATACCATCTGCAATGGAAATGCATTGTTTATAGTGAGTTGGCTGACTCATTGACTCACATTGTGAAGCGCAGCAGTAAAGCGCAACCACTGTGTAATACTGGAAACCAGGAATCAGAGTCAACATATGCAAAAGTAAATATTGCTGCACATATACAGTATATAATCAAAATTTATACATAGAAACAACATCTCGTTTACATGTACAGTATATACATACAAAACTCAAAATCTGTCTCATATATACTGAATCAGCGAAATGAACAGGATGTCAACTAAAATGTTTCCACCCAGCAAGTCTCCTACGATGGTGAGCTATATAAGGTTAGATTTCCTAGGCTGAAATGTTACCGATTCCATGGAATAGAGCTGGGAAAGATGTATTTACTTCGGCAGAAAAATCCTAAGACTCAAACTGGAAAATCTCTCTTCTCTGAAGCCATAATATTCCTTTTGTATCCCCAGGCTTTACACTCCAAAGCCAAACTTAAGGCGGGGCTCAGTACGATTGCAGACCTTGAGTCTCTAAATCCTCCAAACTTGCAAAGAGATCCTCTTCCACATGAAGGAACGCCCCCACTTTCCAAAGTGGAGGATGTCTGTTGGTCTTTGGGAAAACCTGGAAAGAGGCATGGAGGAGATCAGCTATGAGGAAACAATAGAAGAACTGAATTTATTCTCTCTTGAGAAGAGGAGATTAACCACGTGCCTACTGGGCACTTATACCCCTTCCTTACCAGGCCAATTTTCAGCTTTCAGCGCTGTTGCACTTTGAATGACACTTGTGCGGTCATGCAACATTGTACCGATATGAAATTTTTATCATTTTTTTTCTCACAAATAGAGATTTCTTTTGGTGGTATTAACTTGGCGCTGCATGTTTTACTTTTTGCACTATAAACAAAAAAATAGCAATACATTTGAAAAAAAAAAAGTTTCTTTGTTTCTATTATAAAATTTTGCAAACAGGTACTTTTTCTCCTTCACTGATGTGCGTTGATGAGGCTGCATTAATAGGCAGCACTGATGGGTACTGAAAGGCGGCACTGATAGGCACTGATAGGTGGCACTGATAGGCACTAATAAGGTGGCACGAATAGGTGGCACAGATGATGGGCACTGATAGGCAGCACTGACTGGCGCAACTGCTGGGCACTGACTGGTGACACTGCTGGGCTGCACTGCTGGGCACAGGTGGGTGGCACTGCTGGGTACAGGTGGGCAGAACTGGTGTGTGGCACTGCTTGCTGGGCACCGATCATCAGGGCACTGATGATCGGTGCCGATCCCTGCACTGATAACTGCTGGTTCTCGGCAGTACTTTCCTCACGCTCTGGCAGCCGAGAACCGGCAATTGCATTTTCTGGTTGACATTTGACATGGCTGATCACGTGGTAAAAGGCCGCTGTGATTGGCCTTTTACCACATCACGTGATCAGCTGTGCTCGTAGGACACAGCGATCACAGAGATCGCCGTGTGCGTGCCCCCGGGGGCGCGCAGGAGAGCACGTTCTGGAAGGACATCATATGACGGCCTCCCAGAACTGGCTGACCTGCAGTGTAGCCGTCATTCGGCTACCTGCGGTCAGCAACTAGTTAAGGGGGGATATGATCTCCATGTATAAATACATCAATGGTTCATATAGTGAACTCTGTGTAGAGCTATTCACTCTGAGGTCATCACAGGGGACAAGCGGCACTCTTTACGTCTGGAGGAAAATAAATTTAATCTCCAAATATAGAAAGGTTTCTTCACAGTAAGAGCTGTGAAAATGTGGAATAGATTCCCTCAAGAGTTGGTTCTGGCCAGCTCCGTGGATTGCTTTAAAAAAGGACTGGATTCTTTGTTAGATACACAGAATATAACGTGATACTAACATTTACCCTTGGTTCACAGATATTTTTTTTTTGCGTGGGCACGAGAGCCCATTCATTTGAATAGACTCCCGTGCCCTGTAACATGCAGGGAAGAAGTCCCTGCACTTCTTTGGAAACCACAGCCTGCACGTTGCGATTTCCAGTGTGGGTGGCGTGCCATTAGAATGGCACCCGCTCGCGGGTCCGTATTCTTCTGTGCCAGTGGTGCAGCTGCACAAATTTTTGTGCAAATCCGCAGCGGCACCACCCGCACATATATGAACCAATGCTTATAGGTAAAGTTGATCCAGGGAATATCCAATTGCCTCTTGGGAGATCAGAAAGGAATTTTTTCCCCCTGCAGGAGCAAATTGCATCATGCTTTGCTGGGGGGTTTTTTTTTGCCTTCCTCTGGATCAACTACGGGTATAGGATTATAATTTTTTTTTTTTAATGGTTGAACTGGATGGACTTTTGTCTTTTTTCCGCCAGACTATGTAACTATGTAACTGCATGCCAGGTGCTTGGATATGGGAGGTGGTTTCAATGGGTTAGCAAGGAGATTCAGTGGTGCTTTAGATAGGCAGAAGGGGAGACACCAATAGGGATATAAAAATCGTGTGGAAATAGTTCTTCAAAAAACAATATAGTCCATGGTACAATTCATAAATCAAAGTCTGGATACAAGTCCATAAGGGCTGAAGAGCAAATAGCTGCCAGCTGTTAGAGATGAAGCTTCTCTGTGGAAAGGTATATAAAAGGTTTCAATGGGTTGCAAGCCTAATATCTGCTTTCTGCTTCTGCCATGCTTCATGTTGTCCATCCTATGTATCTCTCAACAAATGAGTGCTTCAAATTACTTAAAGCGGAGTTCCACTCGACCTATCAAAAAATAAAAGTCAGCAGCTACAAAAACTGTAGCTGCTGACTTTTAAAAAACAGCCACTTACCTGTCCCTCGGTCCCGTGGTGTGTCCCCCGTAGCTCGTTTCACCAGCCGTCCTGTATTCCAGGAGGCCACCATCTTCAGTGTGGGCACCCGGCTGTGACAGCTTGCGGCTTCACAGCCAGGTACCCACTGCGCATGCATGAGTAGCGCTGCACTTCGTGAATGGTCCTGTAGTCTTCTGGGACCTGTCACATTTCCCAAAAGACTACAGGGAGGGAGGACACCTTCAGCTTCCAATCGCCTAGGTGCCATGGTGCAGAGGGTCAGTTTTGTCTGCACATAGTCTGTCCCAAAGGGCACAAATCAATTGTTCTCAGTGTGTCCTGTTCACACCACAGTCCTTATTACATGGAGATTTTTTTCTGTGCCGGAATCTTCAACATGTATAAAACTCATTGAAGCGCACATGAAAACTGATGTCTTGCAAGTGAAATCTGCGTGCCAGTTTCCATCAGTTTTTGCAACTGCACGTATGCTGTGTGATCAATGAGGCCTAAATAAATGGCTATAGCTCTGCAAATATGATAACAAAATACTTTGAGATCAGTTTATTGATTTACTGTAAACTGGTTGTAAACCTTTACATATACAGTAATCAGTGAAGTGACTGAACTCAGGTGATACACAGAGATGAAACAAATCATTCTACACAAGTTATACCTGTCTATCTGTAGTCTTCTTTTCTTTACAGCTGTGCAGAATTTATAAAGCTTGTCTGAGATGTCAGGAAAAAAAGGGGCAGAGAGCTGAAGTTACACACTGCAGAGCTCAGTGAGAAGTTTTTCTGAGAGCTGACTGGAGGAATGAGCCTAAAAAACACCCTCCCCTTCACACAAGAACAGAGCTGAGGCTGTCAATCAGCTGGAGATCCGTCACCATTTTTCTCTTGGTGTCAGGAAAACTTATCAGAAGTGACTCAGTGATATAGCCTCAGGAATGAAACAGTAGAAAGAAATGACACTTAGGGGGTTATTTACTAAACTTGCATGGTGCAAAATCTGGTACAGCTCTGCATAGAAACCAATCAGCTTCCAGGTTTTATTGTGAAAGCTTAAAGTGTTACTAAACCCCGGACCCTGCATCCACTATTTCTGGTCTCCCACAGTACACAGAACATGGAAATACAATTATTTTAGTTTTATTATTTTAAAATTGCAGACTTGCACGTCCACAAGTTTCCAGCACATCAGCCCTACCTCTGTGGGCTCGGTTTGTACCCTTACCATTTGTCTGTCGTCACCCTGAGCTTTGATCAAGCCCTGGTGCTAGACTTACAGTTTTGCTCAAAAGTTTGCATACCCTGGCAGAAATCGTGAAATTTTGGCGTTGATATTGAAAATATGACTGATCATGCCAAGAAGAATAGCGATCGTATGAAGCCATTTATTATCTCATAGTTGTTTGGCTCCTTTTTAGATGATAATAACAGAAATCACCCAAATGGCCCTGATCAAAAGTTTACATACCTGGAATGTTTGGCCTTGGTACAGACACACAAGGTGACACATTTTAACAGATAGCGTTTATTAAACAGAAGTGTGATACAGATATGTGGTTGACAATGAACAACAGCCAGTAGATAAACAGTCAGTGCAGTGCACTGGGTGGATACAGCAAAGGTAAAGGTACATCATCCAGAACAATATGTATACAAGTCACAAGTATATGCGCCTACTATAGATCTCATTACAATCGGTACAATGAGAAAAATGGCAACTATTCTTTCAATTCACCAACCTAGAAGCTATAACAAGGGTAGGAAGGTAGTGGAGGGGACAGGGGAGGGGAAAATGAGGTGGAAAGGAGGGAGGGATGATTGGAAGAAGGGAAATGCAGGAGGGTGGAAAGGGGAGAAGGAGGCAGTCAGAGTACTGAGGGAGGAAATTGACAGTGGAGGTACCCAAGGCTCAATCAGGTTCTAACTCACCTCCCCAGGAATCTATCCAGGCCATCCATATCTTATCAAATTTCCTAGGACAATTGTGGCTGGCATAGGTAAGTTTGTACAAAGGTAGCACCATATTAACAGCTTCCCAACCGCCCTATAGCAGATATACTGCTACAAGCGGCACGGTTGCGCAAAATCATGGATATATGCGCGATTTTGCATTTCCAGGTAGGGCGGACGCGAGGCGTGCGCACACCCTACCCGCGCCGCCATTCGCGGCCGCGACTGTTAATTACCAGGTCCCAGACGGTGATTATTCACCGGTGCCCGGTGATCGCCGAGTATCTCTGACGGGGAGGAGAACTGTTTATAAACAAAACAGTTCTCCTCCCTGTCAACTCGTGCACACTACTTTGGATGGCTGCCATCCAAAGCAGTGTGATTACAGTGAAGCACACACACAGAGCTTACAGTGAAACAGCACACGGTTAACCCTTTGATCATCTCTCATGTTAACCCCTTCCTGCCCAGTGCCATTATTACAGTGTCAGTGCTTTTTTTTTAGCACCGATCACTGTATTGGTGTCACTGCGGATGTCAGTGACACCAAGTCAGTTCCCCTTAGTGTCAGAATGTCTGCCACAGTCCCGCTATAAGTTGCTGATTGCCGCCATTACTAGTAAATAAAGAAATAAATTCTGGTATCTATACCGCCATTTTTAAATGCTATAACTTTCATGTAAACCAATTAATTTATATATTTGGGATTTTATTTTAGCAAAGACATGGTGCAGAATACATTTTGGCCTAAATTTATGATGAAATTTTTTTTTTTTGTTTTTTTTTTTTTCACTGGACATGTTTAAAAGCAAAAAGTCAAAAATATTGTTTTTTTCTCAAAATTGTCGCTTTTTTTTTTTTTTTGGAGAACAAAAAAAAACCCCAAAACGCACAGGCGATCAAATACCACCGAAAGAAAGCTCAATTCGGGGAAAAAAAAGGACGTAAATTTCATTTTGTTGCATGACTGCACAATTGTCAGTTAAAGCAACGCAGCGCCGTAATGCAAAAAATGGCCTGATCAGGAAGGGGGGTATATCCTCTGTAGGGCAAGTGGTTAATAGATGTACACCAAGATTCAGCTGCTGGAGGCATAGAGGATTTCTGTTTAAGGAGCATTTCCCTCCTCGCGTAGAAGGAAGTGAAAAATACAAATAGTTTACCATTGTGACCAAGTTCTGCCCCATTCAGCACTCAAAAAGCAATACGTAAGGGTCTAGAATCAGTCTGGAATCAGTGGATTTTTTAATTGCAATTAGTGTCTGTGTATAGATAGTCAATAACTTTGTTAGCTCTCACGTGGTTGCACTGAGCAGTCTAGCTATTGAGCCATGGGGAGCAGAAATGAACTGTAAAAAGACCTGCGCAACAAGGTAATTGAACTTTATAAAGATGGAAAAGGATATAAAAAGCCAAAGCCTTGAATATGTCAGTCAGTGCTGTTCGATCACTTATTAAGAAGTGCAAAATTCAGGGATCACCTGACACCAAGCCAAGGTCAGGTAGACCAAGAAAGATCGCAGCCACAGCTGCCAGATGAATTGTTCAGCATACAAAGGAAAGACCTACAGGTGACCTCAGGAGTAATGTGGCTGCTCTGGAAAAAGATGGTGTGGTGGTTGTTTCAAGGAGCACAATATGACGATACTTGAACAAAAAGTAGCTGCTTGGTCGAGTTGCCAGAAAGAATCCTTTACTGCACCTATATCACAAAAAAGCCCAGTTACAATATGCCTGACAACACTTTGACACCCTTCATGGGGATTTTTTGTGGCTACTTACTGCACATGTCATAAGTCATTCTTTGTTCTACAATTTATATTACGGTGTGATGCATATGGTTGCAGCACAATGTTGTGGCATGTACAGGAGTAAACCAGGCAGTGGGGTGGTGGCATATCACTTTCACACTGCCTCTTAAACACCATTAAAAGCAATCCACCATGGATCACTTTTCGCAGAGTACTAGTTGGAAGAAACCAGTTGTGTTGTAACATTCTTCCCCTGGCAGATTTGCTTGGCTCCCTGACACATACTACCAATCAGCCCTCATTGCATACGTCATCTGTTGCTTGATGTACAGTATGTATATCTAAAGAAAAAAAATGTATTTGTTTAATGTTGTGTCTGAGTGATTTCTTTGTTGTGTAAGGTTCCTGTTGGAGAGATTTTCCTGCAGTTCCTGTGCCAAAAAACAAATGAGAAAAACTCTCCAAGATGAAGGTAAATCCCCCATCACTCAGGTGTTGCTGGAACAGGCGTCTCTATTAGAAGACTTCTCTATTCTGGTGACAACCGTGAACAAACATATATATAAAAAATCATGTACTATTTATGTTTTACATACACTCTGGACACACAGGCAAAACGCATATTGAGAAAAAAACATATAGTTAGTGATCCAGACTTTAGAGCCCATTCACACTGGTGCGACTTGTCATGTGACTTTGGGGTGCAAGTCACCCCATGTTTCCCAATGAGTACCATTTATATCTGTGTGACTTTAAGTCGCAGTGACTTGAAAGTAGTTCCTGCAGTACTTTGGTCTGACTTTCATGTGACTTGAGGGCCCAAGACTTCAATGTAAACCTTCCAAAGTCGCATGGAAGTCACACCTGAATGTTATACATGTTACTTAGTGTGAGACTTTGTACAGCACAATCATCCTTGGTCAAAGTCGCACTGTAAAGTCGCACGATTTTAAAGTTGCACACATGTGAACAGAGCCTTAGGGACACCCTACATTATGAGAGGGAAATATATTAAAACTGAAGCAGGCACTATCTGGGGCAGCTCTGTATAGCAACCAATCAGCTTTTATCTTTTATTTTCAAAGAGCAACTGAACAAGCTGTGGGGAAAAGCTGATTGGTTGGCACGCATAGCAGCTCCTGTTTTGATAGACTCCCCTCTGTATACACATTACTATAATATCATCACCAAAACTCATAAACTGAAAAGAAAATGACATGGGATCCGCCTCACTGAAAAAAAAAACCCCTGAGAAAACCTTAATTTCCGTAAATAAAGCTTTGAGAATCAAATGTTTCCGTCTCCAAGGCGACACGCTGGGACGGCTTTCTATTGGCGGTTCTGTAAAGGAAGCAGGAAGTGCAGTGGGTGGATGATGTGGTATTAGAGCCGTCTGTCATTGGTCTGATATCTCTGCAGACGGAGGTAATTAGGAAGCGGTGATATCCTCGGAGAACATGGTGCTGCTAACCATCCTGAAGAAGCTGAAGCAGAAGGAGCGGGAGGTCCGCCTCCTCATGCTGTATCCTGTGTGTGGAGGGGGATGGGATCGGTCTGCTGGCTGGTAATGTTCTTCTGTATGTGGTGGCGATGTCTTCTCTGGTGTTACAGGCCATTCATACAGAAGCACCCAGCCCACTGCAGCTGCTAATGGAGTTCACGTCCAGCCGTGCCTAGAGGACAGCAAAAAGGCGGGAGGGAGGGTCAGGGCAAGCCTTGTCTACTAGTCCAGTGCCTGTACTGAGGGGAGGGGGAGGGGATTCGTGCTCATTCAGCACCCAGTCCCTCTATGTGCAGTCACAGGTACCTGGTATTTCTCTGCACTGCATAGCCGTGTGACTTTCTGCAACATGATTACATCATATCGCAACACCTGTAACTGTGCGCAAGCACTGCAACACATGTAACTGTGCGCAAACACCGCAAACACACAAAAACACGTGCAACTGTGCGCAAACACCGCAACACATGTAATTGTGTGCAAACACCCGCAACACACAAAAACACGTAACGGTGCGCAAACACATGTAACTGTGTGCAAACACCGCAACACACAAAAACGCATGTAACTGTGCGCAAACACTGCAACACATGTAACTGCGCAAAAACACCCTCAACACACAAAAACACATGTAACTGCGCAAACACTGCAACACATGTAACTGCGCAAACACCCTCAACACACAAAAACACAAGTAACTGTGCGCAAACACCCGCAACACACAAAAACACATGTAACTGCGCAAACACCCGCAACACACAAAAACACAAGTAACTGTGCGCAAACACCCGCAACACATGTAACTGCGCAAACACCCGCAACACACAAAAACACATGTAACTGCGCAAACACCGCAACACATGTAACTGCGCAAACACCGCAACACACAAAAACACATGTAACTGCGCAAACACTGTAACACACCGCAACACATGTAACTGTGCGCAAACACTGCAACACATGTAACTGCGCAAACACCCTCAACACACAAAAACACGTAACTCTGCGCAAACACCGCAACACAAAAACACATGTAACTGCGCAAACACAACCGCAAACACACAAAAAACACAAGTAACTGTGCGCAAACACCCGCAACACATGTAACTGCGCAAACACCCGCAACACACAAAAACACATGTAACTGCGCAAACACCGCAACACATGTAACTGCGCAAACACTGTAACACACCGCAACACATGTAACTGTGCGCAAAACCCGCAACACACGAAAACACATGTAACTGTGCGCAAACACCGCAACACACAAAAACGGTTAACTGTATTGTTTACTTACAGACCTCTCCCCCATCAGTGATACTCGGCGATCACTGGGTGCTGATGTGGAATCTCCGGCCAGGACCCGGTTGATTGACAGCTGAGGCCCCAATGGCGGCCCGGGTAGGGCACACGCACTCCCTACCCGGAATTCAAAATCACGTGTGTGTATATATATATATATATGTGATTTTGCGCAGCCCTGCTGCCCTGTAGCAGTATTTTTGCTTTTGGGGCAGTGGGAAATCAGTTAAAAATGAGTGAGTTCCCGTAGGGCTTGTTTACATCGCATTCGCAGTGCGTTTCTTCAGCTGCACACATTTTCTGGAATTATATTTTTTTCACTAAGTTGCATTTACACGTGTTCATACACATTTGTGGTGCATTTGTGTTCGTTCATAGGTGTTTGCAGTGTGTTTGTGTGCATTTATGCATGTTTGTGGTGTGGAAAAATACAACATGCTGTATTTTATTTTTTTTTCTTAATGCACACAAAAGTAGTGCAGTGATGTAAACTAGGCTCATTGGAATTCATTCATTTTTCTTGCCTCTGCATTCATACTGCATTAATCCTGTGCTGAAAAACACACCTGACTGCATGTTGTGTGAATGAGCCCATAAAGTGCACTTTCACCTCATGTATGCCCTGGACTGGTTCTCTCCCCCCATCTAAGACCTTTAAAGTATTACAGAAATGCAGCAGAGAAAAATCAGGTCTTCTTCCCTGCCAGATAGAGCTGTGCTGCAAAGCTGTATACATTTCAGGACTGCATGGACAGAACTATAAATACATTTGCAGGTGAATCAGCTCCAATATGTCTGCAAAGAGTTTGCATGTTCTCCCTGTGTCTGCCAGGGTTTCCTCCATGTGCTCTGGTTTCCTCCCACAGTCCAAACACATGCTAGTAGGTTAATTGGCTCCTGTCTAAATTGGCCCTAGTATGTGTATGAATGAGAGTTAGGGACCTTAGATTGTACGCTCCTTGAGGGATAGGGACTGATGTGAATATACAATATATATGTAAAGCACTGCATAAATGGATGGCGCTATATAAGTACCTATAAAAAAATTAAATATATGTGTTCCATTTATGTATCTAGCGGTTTGCCTGGAGTTCAACTTTTAAAGTGATATTTTTTAAAATAAAACTTAAAACATATGCTCTCCCTAAAATATAGGTGTAAAATGATCTGAAAGGTGGAGTTAGTCTTTAAGTAAATCAACATTTAATATTGAGACTGTATAGTTCACATACACCTATTCAGTGGTATAAATAGATGTTTGTCCTTGACCGCTTCAATACTGGACGCTTTCACCCTTCCTGTCCAGGCCAATTTTCAGATTTCAGTGCTGTCACACTTTGAATGACAATTAGTCATGTAACACTACCCAAATTACATTTAACCCCCCCTCCCCGCCTTTTTTTTTTTTCTGTTAAAACTTAATATTTTATGTCAAAATGTATTCTGGTACAGTTCTTTGGTAAATGGTCAGTGTGTATTTTTTAGTCTGTGTGAAAGTTTATAGAGTCTACAAACTGGGATATATATATACAGTGGGGATCGAAAGTTTGGGCACCCCAGCTAAAAATTTGTATTAATGTGCATAAAGAAGCCAAGGAAAGATGGAAAAAATCTCCAAAAGGCATCAAATTACAGATTAGACATTCTTATAATATGTCAACAAAAGTTAGATTTTATTTCCATCATTTACACTTTCAAATAACAGAAAACAAAAAAATTACGTCTGCAAAAGTTTGGGGCACCCTGCAGAATATATAGCATGCACTGCCCCCTTTGCAAAGCTGAGACCTGCCAGAGTCATGGATTGTTCTCAATCATCATCTGGGAAGACCAGGTTATGTCAATCTCAAAGGTTTTAAATGCCCAGACTCATCTGACCTTGCCCCAACAATCAGCACCATGGGTTCTTCTAAGCAGTTGTCTAGAAAACCGAAACTGAAAATAGTTGACGCTCACAAAGCTGGAGAAGGCTATATGAAGATAGCAAAGCGTTTTCAGATGTCAATATCCTCTGTGCGGAATGTAATTAAGAAATGGCAGTCATCAGGAACAGTGGAAGTTAAAGCAAGATCTGGAAGACCAAGAAAAATATCAGACAGAACAGCTCGCAGGATTGTGAGAAAAACAATTCAAAACCCACGTTTGACTGCACGATCCCTCCAGAAAGATCTGGCAGACACTGGAGTTGTGGTACACTATTCCACTATAAAGAGATACTTGTACAAATATGGTCTTCATGGAAGAGTCATCAGAAGAAAACCTTCTCTTCTACGTCCTCACCACAAAAATCATCGTTTGAACTTTGCAAATGAACATATAGACAAGCCTGATGCATTTTGGAAACAAGTTCTGTGGACCGATGAGGTTTAAAATTGAACTTTTTGGCCGGAATGAGAAAAGGTACGATTGGAGAAGAAGGGGCACAGAATTTAATGAAAAGAACCTCTGTCCAACTGTTAAGCATGGGGTTGGATCAATCATGCTTTGGGGTTGTGTTGCAGCCAGTGGCACAGGGAACATCTCACGAGTAGAAGGAAAAATGGATTCAATAAAATTTCAGCAAATTTTGGATGGTAACTTGATGCCATCTGTGAAAAAGCTGAAGTTAAAGAAAGAATGGCTTCTACAAATGGATAATGATCCTAAACACACCTCGAAATCCACGGGGGATTACATCAAGAGGCGTAAACTGAAGGTTTTGCCATGGCCTTCACAATCTCCTGACCTCAACATAATTGAAAATCTATGGATAGACCTTAAAAGAGCAGTGCGTGACAGACAGCCCAGAAATCTCAAAGAACTGGAAGACTTGTAAGGAAGAATGGGCAAAGATACCTCAAACAAGAATTGAAAGACTCTTGGCTGGCTACAAAAAGCGCTTACAAGCTGTGATACTTGCCAAAGGGGGCAGTACAAGATATTAACTCTGCAGGGTGCCCAAACTTTTGCAGACGCCATTTTTTTGTTTTCGGTTATTTTGAAAGTGTAAATGATGGAAATAAAATCTAACTTTTGTTGACATATTATAAGAATGTCTAATCTGTAATTTGATGCCTTTTGGATATTTTTCCATCGTTCCTTGGCTTCTTTATGCACATTAATACAAATTTTTAGCTGGGGTGCCCAAACTTTCGATCCCCACTGTATATGTATATAAAATATGAAAATTGATCATTCCTAATGTGCTGATCTCATTTCTTGAGGCCCTAAAATGCCAGGACAGTACAACAACCCTCCAAATGACCCCTTTATGGCACATAGACATCCCAAGGTATTTAGTGAGGAAAAAAAATCCTTTTTTAAACAATTTTTTTTTTTTAACTTTTACACACTGTGACCAGAGCAATACAGCGTCCCCATAGTGACACTGTACTACTACTCTGGGGCGGGTGATCAAGATTTTTTCCTTTTACTTATTACTGTGATGATCGTTGTAATTAGCAATCTCTAATACTGTTCAAAGGTTTCATTCATGAAACCTTGCTTACTACTGTAATGGGCCACATCTGTCACAAGGTCCACTGTGATTGTAAGCATTACCTTCAAAGGAGGCTTTAAATACCTGCTGCTCATGCTGCTAAACACTCCTCTTTGAAGTGAAATCACTGAAGTTTCTTCAGAAACCAACACTTATCAGAAGGGTCCATCTCCTGTGCCCACCATGTCATTTGTATTGGACAGTAATTAACCTCCCTAGCGGTATGATTATTTCAGATTTTTGGTGCTGAAAGCGGTACCATTTTTTTGCATGGAAATATGTTTTTTTTTTTTTTTTTTTTATTGTAGGCCTGTAATTTAGGAATAACTCACTGAAATCTGTCCGAACAAATGCTGCACACGCTTTTTGATGTTCCCCTTCGTGAATACCTTTGTTACCGACACATTAGACACTTTTTTGAATCACATTTTGGCCTTATTACCATCTTCTCCGGTTTCTTTTTTTTGAACGTACCAGCCGTGACTGCCCTAGGGGAAGGGGCCTTATTTCTAACTTTTATCACCAATCTTTGCTTTGTCGTGTCTTTTTCATACGCCTCCTTTATACCGACAACGGTGGGAGGAGGATAGTGGCAGCACTTTTTCGGATGAGGATTGGGATTCCATGGTGGATAATATATGTAAAAGTTCTCGATCTCTTTCTGTTCGTTAGACAGCCCTTAAAGTTTTAACTAGATGGTATTATACCCCATCGAGACTACATAGATTGTTCCCACAAACGTCCCCTCTATGTTTTCGGGGCTGTGGCCTTACAGGCACTTTGGTGCATTTATTTTGGGACTCCATTTCATTGATTTGGTACAGGATATCCGAGGTGGCTACCTCACTGGCGGGTACCCCAGTACGCTTTTCTATACAGACCTGTCTATTGGGGGCTCACATCCCAGGGGTCCCAGATGCCATTATGAGATTGATACATACTATGTGTATTGCCACTTTATGGTCTATTGCCTTACATTGGAGGTCCAATGCTGTGCCTTTGGCCTCCATTTTACACAGAATTGATGCAGTAATGCTCATGGAACGCATTCCTTATACTCTGCTGGATAAGATGCACTTATTTGATAAAATATGGGAATCATGGAGGGATTATAGACATTTATTGCATGATTAACACCGTTTCCAGTGAAGAGTTACTGACAAATGCAGTTGACAGATGTCTCATTCAACCTATCTCATCACTAACGTATCTCATGTACTTGCAATCTACTTTTTTTTTCTGTTTCTTTCTCTTTCTTACTACAATAGACTTTTCTGAATTGTACTGTTCATAAGTGCCTTGTTTTTTTTCTATCCATATAATCTGAAAATGTGTTGTTTTACTGTCTACCTTTTTTCAATAAAATCGTTTGTAAACAAAAAAATCTGTCCGAACAAGAGTCTAGTAAACATCCCAGGTATGATAAAACTTGAAACACAAAATCATAAATTATAATTTAATAAATAATCATAAAAAATAATAATAAATTTAATTCAATAATATAATCAAACCAAAAACGCTGAAATTTGAAATATAGTGCCAAGTTCGCACATCGCTGAGCAAAGTCGCAGAATCGTTTTCAGTGTCTGATGACAAATTTCCCCACGAATCATCACTCAATTCTGCAAGTCTGAAAAAGCGTCCCTTTAGCTGGTCTAAAACTGCTTTTGACCTAAAGGGACGCTTTTTGGACGTCATGGACTTTTCTAAGTTTCCAGGCAGAAAGAACAGTCACAATGCAGGCAGGGCACAGGACAAAGCACTAGGGACAAAATGTATGTGAAATGTTTTGAAACAGCAATGTTGTACTATGTAATAATCATTTTTTAAAAAATGAAATTTTTAAAAAATCTCATTTGCCGCCGCCCGTACGTCCCGACGTCACAGGGACCAGAACACGGAAGCCGGATGCCGGCATTGGCCGGAGGAGATGGCTGGGGACGCCGCAGGGGACACATCGCGGGAGCGAAGGACAAGGTAAGTGCTGCAGGGACTCCCTATGTAACGCTGCATGGTAAGCCCAAGTGTAGTTCAGGGTTACCGCTTTTGGTATTGAAACTCTAACCCGAGCTACACTCGGGAATACCTTCAGGGAGGTTAAATGAACACTTCAACACCTTTTACATTTTCTTTATGAAAACAAAAATCCAACAATGTTACAAAAAAAACTATAGCCTTGATTATCATGTATATGTAGCAAGCAAATTTATGTTTTGTTTGTTTCCTTAACCTGTTCTCACTGCAGAGGTTTAGATAATGCTGGAAAGACTACAATTCTGAAGAAGTTTAATGGTGAAGATATAAATACAATTTCTCCAACATTAGGATTCAATATTAAAACACTGGAGCACAGAGGGTAACATAACTATTTTCTTTATTTTTATATTCTGCTGTCTTGTTCTGCTGTGTACTCGGTGAATGGTACCATCTGGTTTCTCCTTTTCCCCTCATTTTAAATAATTTTACTTGCTTAGATTGTAATATTATATATTAAGTATTGTGTATATAAATACTGGATAATAATTAATAAATATATGTGTGTGTATATATATATCCCCCAGCCATGGCACCCACCTGCCATGTTCTCACTGTGCTTGCGTGGGTTTCCTCCGGGTTCTCTGGTTTCCTTCCACACTCCAAAGACATGCTGGTAGGTTAATTGGCTCCTGTCTAATTGGCCCTAGTATGTATATGTATGAATGTGAGTTAGGGACCTTAGATTGTACACCCCTTGAGGTTAGGGACTGATGTGAATGTACAATATATATAAAAGCGCTGCGTAAATTGACAGCACTATATAAGTACCTGTAATAAATAAATATGTGTGTGTGTGTGTGTGTGTATATATATATATATATATATATATATAATTTTGTTGTTTTTTTTTTTGATTGCCAAAAGTATTGGGATGCCTGCCTTTACTTACACACATACGAACGTTAATGGCGTCCTTTGCAGCTATAACAGCTTCAACTCCTCTGGGAAGGCTGTCCACAAGGTTTAGGAGTGTCTATGAGAAGGTTTGACCATTCTTCCAGAAATGCATTTGTGAGGTCACTGATGTCGGATGAGAAGGCCTGGCTCGCACTCTCCACTCTAATTCATCCCAAAGGTGTTTTATCGGGTTGAGGTCAGGACTCCATGCAGGCCAATCAAGTTCCTCCACCCAGACTTGCTCATCCATGTCTTTATGGACCTTGCTTTGTGCACTGGTGTGCAGTCATGTTAGAACAGGAAGGGCCCATCCCCAAACTCTTCCCACAAAGTTGGGAGCATGAAATTGTCCAAAATGTCTTGGTATGCTGACACCTTAAGAGTTCCCTTCACTGGAACTAAGGGGCCAAACCCAACCCCTGAAAAAACAACCCCACACCATAATCCCCCCCCCCTCCACCAAACTTTACACTTGGCACAGTACAGTCAGGCAAGTGCCATTCTTACCTGGCAACTGCCAAACCCAGACACGTCCATCGGGTTGCCAGACAGAGAAGCATGATTTGTCACTCCAGAGAACACGTCTCTACTGCTTCAGAGTCCAGTGGCAGCGTGTTTTACACCATTGCATCCGACGCTTTGCAGTGCACTTGGTGATATAAGGCTTAGATGCAACTGCCCGGCCATGGAAACCCATTCCATGAAGCTCTCTTTGCACTATTGTTGTGCTAATCTGAAGGCCACATGAAGTTTGGAGGTCTTTATTGACTCTCTAGACCAGTGATGGCGAACCCGTGGCACGCGTGCCACAGCCGGCACGCCGAGCCCTTATCTGTGGGCACGCCAGGAGAATACCGTATTTTTTCGCTCCATAAGACGCACTTTTTTTTTTCCCCAAAAAAGGGGGGAAAAATATCAGTGCGTCTTATGGAGCGAATATAGAGCGGCCGGTCCGGTATTTCCACCGCCGCCGTGTCAGAATACCGGGCCGGCTGCTCAGCTCTGCAGTGGGACCGTACCTGTCCCTCTATCCAGCGGTGCGCTGTCTTCCCGGCTTCTGTAGTGTGCGTGACAGCCGGGTCCCAAGTGCGCATGCGCAAGAAGCAGTGCTCTTTGTGAATGGTAAGGCGGTACCTGCGACACATGACAGATCCCAGAAGCCGCCGGACCAATCACAAAGCGCAGCGCTTCTCGCACATGCGCACTGGGCATATATATCCGGCTGTCCGAGCGCCCACACTACAGAAGCCGGGAAGACAGCGCGCGGCTGGATAAAGGAACAGGTAAGATAAAAAAAAAACTCTGCGGAAGTAAGAGCGGGTACCTGTCAAATTCAGGTACCCGCTCCCCCTCCCTCCCCAAAGGTCAGCAGTCATCTGTACTGTCCGCAGTCTCTGGTCATCCCTGTGCTTTCCGCAGTCTCTGGTCATCTCCTGTACTGTCCGCAGTCTCTGGTCATCTCCTGTACTGTCCGCAGTCTCTGGTCATTTCCTGTACTGTCCGCAGTCTCTGGTCATCTCCTGTACTGTCCGCAGTCTCTGGTCATCTCCTGTACTGTCCGCAGTCTCTGGTCATCCCTGTACTGTGTCTGCAGTCTCTGGTCATCCCCTGTACTGTGTCTGCAGTCTCTGGTCATCCCCTGTACTGTGTCTGCAGTCTCTGGTCATCCCCTGTACTGTGTCTGCAGTCTCTGGTCATCCCCTGTACTGTGTCTGCAGTCTCTGGTCATCCCCTGTACTGTGTCTGCAGTCTCTGGTCATCCCCTGTACTGTGTCTGCAGTCTCTGGTCATCCCCTGTAACTGTTAATTAGTTTGCACTACTGTACGAGTTGTTTTTTCTAAACCAAAAGCTCGATATTCAGGTTTCATTGCAGTGTTGGCACTTTGAAAGAAATAAGTTGGTTTTGGGTTGCAGTTTGGGCACTCGGGCTCAAAAAGGTTCGCCATCACTGCTCTAGACAGTTGGCAACTTCTGTGCACTGGTTTCTTCACAGTGAGAGCTGTGAAAATGTGGAATAGACTCCCTCAGAGTTGGTTCTGGTCAGCTCAGTGGATTGCTTTAAAAAAAGGCCTGGATTCTTTCTTAGATACACATAATATAACTGGATACTAACATTTATAGGTAAAGTTGATCCAGGAAATATCCGATTGCCTCTCGGGGATCAGGAAGGAATTTTTTTCCCAGCAGGAGCAAATTGGATCATGCTTTGCTGGTTTTTTTTTTTTTTTACCTTCCTCTGGATCAACTGTGGGTATAGGATTATAACTTTTTTTTTTTTTTTTTTTTTTTTTTTTTATATGGTTTAAACTGGATGGACTTTTGTCTTTTTTCAGCCAGACTATGCAACTATGTAATTTGGATTTTTCCAAAGCGACATATGCCGACCACGAGAGTGGGAGGCATGGAAATTTGGTGAATGCACACCCAGAAGGGGGAACGTTTTTTTCTGGGTATAGGATTATAACTTTTTTTTTTTTCTTTTCGATGGTTGAACTGGATGGACTTTTGTCTTTTTTCAGCCAGACTAACTATGTAACTCTGCGCTTCAGCATGCAATGACCCTGCTCTGTCATTTTACGTGGCCTACCACTTTGTGACGAGTTGCTGTTCCCAGTTGCTTCCACTTTGTTATAATACCACTAACAATTGACCGTGGATTGTTTAGTAGCAAGGAAATTTCACAGATATATGTACTGCACAGGTGGCAACCTATCACGGTACCATGCTTGAATTCACTGAGCTTCTGAGAGCGACCCTTTCTTTCACAAATGGTTGTTGAAGCAGTCTGCATGCCTAGGTGCTTGATTATATACAACTGTGTGTGTGTTTGTTTACCATCTTTTATGGACTGTGTCTTGCTTTGTCATGGCATTCAATTTTTGCGAAGTCCTCTGACCATGTGGTTATTATTTATGTTTAACTTTTGTACTTTTTTTTTCTGTAGATTCAAGCTGAACATGTGGGATGTTGGAGGACAGAAATCTTTGCGATCCTATTGGAGGAATTACTTTGAGAGTACGGATGGTTTGATCTGGGTGGTTGACAGTGCAGACCGTGCACGATTGCAGGATTGTGCACAAGAACTAGCTGGGCTTTTACTGGAAGAGGTGGGTGCATAATGACAGTCTTGTCTGGTGATATACACTCCATTATTGTCTTTCAGTAGAGCAACATAGAATAGAAGGAACTGTTCCAACAACACAGTGGGAATTTATAGATCAAGCAACTTCAGCTGTGACTGAATGTAATATTTTGGCAGATACATTTTAGATGTGTTGCTAACAGAAATATGATTTAATTCTTATACTTAGGATGACCTTAGGTATCTTACACATGATAATGATTAGGAAAGATAACGTTGTTCCTTACATTTTCATGTTTGTTATAGCAAATTTCAAAATGTGGACATCTCAGTTTTGGATACTTGAATGCACTTTCCATCCAAGTGGAAATGTGTTTTAAATGCATGTTGGTGTGCATTGTACTGCACTTTACATTGCACATTGAGTCACATAATGCATGTCAGCACTCATAACGCATGTTGACGGGCCTTGATGTGTTTCCTATAATTCCAGTGGAGGAAGTATCAGACTAAACAGCAAAGTGTGAATCCAGCCTTAATTATTGATATACTATCTTGTGGAGTTCAGTAACCTCTGTTTGAAAAAACCTTAAAAGTGAAAATCCACAATTTGATGGACTATATTAAAAGTGAAAATTTATTTAAAGTGATGTTAAACTCAAAAATGTAACATATTGCAGCTTTGCAATTCTGAAATGTTTATGATTTTTTGTTTCCCTTGACTTTCACCTGGTGCTCTAGCCAGTAACACACATTTTCTGTGTTAGGGTGTCTCCAGTCTGTATGGAGGAGCAACAGAGAGACCTTTTGGACAGCAGCATTGTCAGTGTTAGGAGAGGGTAGTGTTTGATGGACCAACAAATTTAGAAGGAATTGACAGACAAATTAAAGCCAATCTCCATCTAACATATTTCTTTAAGCAGTTACATCAAGTTTTTTTTTTTTTGTCCTCTGTGAATAAAGATTCTAAATAAATTAATTAAAGTTGACCATTCTAATCACCTTTCTCAGTGTTAAATTGTCTCAACCTTTTAACTGCCACTTTTGCTGGACAGCTTGGTCTGTTGGAAAACAGACTTCTGGCTGGATTAACAAGTGAAATTGCAGGTAAAATAAAAAATAAAATAAAAATGGGAATGTTAAACTCCAATAATACGTTTTTGGTTTAACCACTTGCCCTCCAGAGGATTTCCTACCCTTCCTGACCAGGCGATTTTTTGCGTTACGGCTCTGCGTTACTTTAACTGACAATTGCAATGCTGCACCCAAATGAAATTTACATCCTTTTTTTTTTCCTATGAATAGCACTTTCTTTTGGTGGTATTTGATTGCCTATGCATTTTAAATTTTTTGTGCTATAAAAAAAAACAAAAAAAAAGAGAGAACTTTTTCCTATTAAACATGTCCAGTAAAAAAAATTAAATCAAATTTCATCATTAATTTAGGCCAAAATGTATTCTGCGACATGTCTTTGCTAAAAAAAAAAAAAAAAAATCCCCAATACATGTAAATTAATTGATTTACATGAAAGTTATAGCGTTTACAAATGCCGGTGTATATATACTGGGATTTTTTTTGTTATTTTTGCTAGTAATGGTGACGAGTAATGCTCGTGTGTGTGTATATATACGTGATTTTGCACACCCCTGCTGCTCTGTAGCAGTATATTTGCATTATTATTTTTTGGTTGCAGGAGCCTGTAAAGCATTGCACCAGCCAATAGCAGATCGCTGGTGCCATGCTGGTTTCCTGCAGACCTGTCAGTATATCTGCTTGCCTGTATAGATGTAACGTTCTCAAAAGTGGACTTATTCTTTAATATTTAAGGGCTTGTTCACACCATATGTGCAGAAAAATGAATGGAAACTGACATGCAGATTTCACTTGCAGTGATATCAGTACATCTGTTTTCATGCACGTTTCAGTGAGTTTTATACACGTTGCAGATTTCTGCACAGAAAAAATCTGCATGTGATACTAATGTTACTAATAATGTAAAGTGCTGAGCAAACTGTTGGCGCTATATAAATCCTGTATAATAATAATGTTGTGGTGTGAACAGGGCATATAGAGAACAATTATTTTTGTTGTGCCCTTGCAGAACACGTGAGAAACTGATGTCTCTAAAGCTCAACTAAACTGTCAATTTAAGGCAGAACTAAAGTCAACATTAAAAAATTATAAATAGGTTATTTATTGCAAAAAAAGCAAGCTATGTCTATTCTAGAATAAAATAAGCATGCCTGCTTGCTTGCAATGTTCTGTAAAAATGTACTCTGAGCTACGCATGTACAACTCCCTTTACATTTCTGGCATGGTGTCTCTGTCGGGATGACTGAGCTCATGCGCATTCGCTGGAGTTGCATCACATTGCATTGGCCAGTCAAGACAGCCGAAGACCAGCACCTGGAGGAAGCTGGTAATATATTGCTGGCGGGGGATTGTGGAGAAGAAGTATTACAGACTTTAATTCCACTTTAAATTCGCTAAATACATTCCAGGTGCATCAAAACAAAAGGTGTGCAAAGTCTTAGTTTTCTTTAGAAGGCAGCCATAGCCTAAGTAGAAAACCCTGTCTCCTGCCAGCATACTGCAGTTTGTGACCCTTGCTCTATGTGGGAAAGTATTGGTCTCTGCAGAGGTCTAACATGCCCCTTGCTGAGACAGACCCTGAGCTTTCCAACCAGTTTCAGAGCTATAGGTCTGATTCAAAGGGGGTATGTAGAACCTCTGCAAGGGGACACTCTTTTCTACTTACACATTGACTGCTTTTGAAAACAAACTTATTGAACACTTCTTTGTTTTGATGCACTTAGAATGTGTTTAACTGGCTTAAAGGATGAGTTCACATTTGTAAAAGAAAATAACAAATTCACATAATTTTGCAGGTAAACAAAAATGTGCATTTATTATTTTTTTTACTCTGAGCCTGCAAACCATTGCTCCCACGATCAGCAGATCATGGGTGCTATACAGGGCTCTTGCAGACTGTCTGTGTAATCTGTCTGCTCATACTTCATTACACACAGACAGGAAGAAACTATGAACTATCTAGAGTAGTCAACAATGCCCTGGAAGTTCATTGAAAACTTCCAAGCCGACAGCTGCAAAGGCTGTCAGAACTCATAGAATGATTTATGGGGCTAGGCAGATGGGGCCCCAGCCCAGGGGGAGAAAATCCCAGCCTCCAATCCCCCCCCCCTCCCCCCTTCTCTGCTCGCTGTCAAAACGGGGGGATCGGGGAGGTGTGGGGACAGCTGCATCTGACATGTTACACCCTAAATATGAATGTAACATGTCACTAAAGGTGACCTTATCCTTTAAACTGATGGCCCAATTGGGCTTTAAGGATTTGGCGCTTAATTTGGATATTACTCTGATACGGCTGATAAGATTCTAAAGGTTTTCCAGATTCTTTTAGTACTGGGAATAATGGAATGTGAAACATCTGGCAGACCCTGAGCGACTGTTGTGCCACAGGCACCTGCTGCAGTGTTCTTTCCAGTATAGCCTAGAAACTGACATGGAACATGCATGGTAAAGTCTTCATTTTCCTTTATCCATAGAAAAGGAAATTATTTGTTGCAAAAAGTTTCTAACCTACCGCAATTATGTACATCACATTTTTGCCTACTGTAAGTCATTCTATTTTTTTTTCCTTTTTCTGTATTTCCCCCTCTTCAGAGGTTAGCAGGAGCAACATTGCTGGTTTTCGCCAATAAACAAGATTTGCCCGGTGCATTATCAAAAGATGCCATCCGAGAGGTAAGTTGTGTTTTTTGTATGAAAAATGCTCAAATCATTACTGTAAAAAGTACATGATCTTAAGTAATAATCAATGCAAACTGCAGGAACCCAAAACAACCAGTCATATTTCACCTTCCATTTTATATCTTTCACAAATATTAACCACTTTCCCTCCAGAGGATTTATCCCCCTTCCTGACCTGGCCTTTGAGCTATACGGCGCTGCGTTACTTTAACTTACTATTGCGTGGACATGCAAAGCTGTACATAAATGAAATTTATGTAATTTTTTTTTCTCCCACAAATGTAGCTTTCTTTTGGTGGTATTTGATCACCTCTGCGTTTTTTTTTTTTTTTTTTTTTTTTTTTTTTGCGCTATAAAAACAAAAAAAAAACTACAATTTTGGAAAAAAAAAACAATATTTTTGAATTTTTGCTATAAAACATATCCAAAAAAAAATGTTATGAATCAAATTTCTTCATAAATTTAGGCCAAAATGTATACTGCTACATGTCTTTACTAAAAATATCCCAATACATGTAAATTAATTGGTTTATAATGAAAGTTAGAGCGTCTACAAATGGTGGTGTATATACTGGAATTTTTATTTCTGCGGTGACTTATAGCGGGACTGCCATGGGCTGTCTGACACTGGGTGGCAACTGGCTAACTGCCACTGACATCCCCAGTGACACTAATACAGTGATCAGTGCTAATAAAAAGCACTGACACTGTACTGTAGACACTTGGCAGGAAGGGGTTAACATCTGGGGTGATCAAAGGGTTAACTGCGTGCGCTTGCTGTGTTTTACTAGGGAGATACAAAACAGCATGTCTATGCTGACAGTAGAGACCTGTGTTGTTTACATACAGGTCTCTCTCCCCTTTCGCTTTACCCGACGATCACCGAGTGCCAGCTGGGACCCAGTGACTGACATCCCTAGCTGCCAATAGCAGTGTGGGCAGGGCAGCGTGCGTGCACCCTACCCGTAAATGCAAATCACGTGTATGTATGTGTATATGTGATTTTCCCACAGCTCTGCCACCTTGTAGCAGTACTTCTACTACAGGGCGGCGGGAAAGTGGTTAAAGATCATTTGTTATACTTTAATTATTGCATGAAACCATCAAGTAAGAGATGGGGGTAACACTGTACATTGCTGTCTGTTTTTTTTTTTTCTGCAGGCATTGGAGCTGGAAAACATTAAGACCCACCACTGGTGTATACAAGGATGTAGTGCAGTGACGGGAGATAACCTCCTGATAGGGATAGACTGGCTATTGGATGACATCTCCAGCCGAATCTTTACAGCTGACTGAAGGAAACCTGGTAGAAGAAACAAAGCAAGTGGTTAAAGAGAGCATAAGCCTTATTTATTTAATATTTATTCAGCTGATTAAAATCATAACACAGCTATGGCAGTCAGGCATTACTAAGTGTTAAGCAGGTTTTGTAACAAGAAGGGAGTCAAAAGTGGTGCAAATACTTCACTAACACAGAAGCTCTAGGAGTCGGATATACCATTCTATAATAACTTCTTAAACACATCATTAATGATGATTATAGCACAGTACAAGAACCAAATAAGAAAATGTCACTGGAGGATTTATCTGGGCTTTTCTTAGAGCCACCCACCAAAACATTGGCAAAAATCTGTGCAGGTCATCATACACCAAGCCAGTTCAAAGTTGATACTACATAGCTGTGTCTTAGGAATTAATACAACATTTTGTCAGCTGCAGACTCATTTACAATACCAAAAACAAGGACCAGTGCAGAAAAGTGTTTCAATACCTTTTAAACATTAGATAATCACAGTCATTGTAATGTGTTTGTGATGTCTGTGGGGTACCACGGACCTTGGCAAACATTCTGCCAAAAAGTCTTTGTTGGTTTTCTTTAGAAAGCAGCCACAGTATAAAAGCCTACCCCTGCCACCATGCTGCAGAAGAGAGATTACTGCAACCACAAAGTGCAAGTGCTAGACTTTTCTACTTTGGCCATGGCAGCTTTTTTAAAAAAAATTAACTATAAGAAATTGCATACCTTTTTTTGACCTAGAACATATTTTAGCCAATTTAAAGCAGAAATAACCCCCCCCCATCCCTTTCAGCCAATGAAGCTGCCATCTTAGCTTCTGTTTTGATCTGCAACTGCCATGGGTCTGCACATGTGATCATTTGACACCAGCCATTTGATGGTTTGACAGTTTGATGAGAGCACAAGTAAATGCGACAGCATTCCTGGCATGCTTTTTATGGAACTGTTACCGTATTTTTCGCTCCATAAGACGCACTTTTTTCCCCCCAAAAAAGGGGGGAAAATGTCAGTGCGTCTTATGGAGCGGCCGGTCCGGTATTTCCACTGCCGCCGTGTCAGAATACCGGGCCGGCCGCTCAGCTGTACAGCGGGACCTTATAGAGATGACTGCTGACCTTTGGGGAGGGAGGGGGAGCGGGTACCTGAATTTGACAGATACCTGCTCCCACTTCCGTGGAGTTGTTCTTTCATCTTACCCGTTCCTCTATCCAGCGGCGCGGTCTTCCTGGCTTCTGTAGCGTGGGCATGACAGCCGGGTGCCAAGTGCGCATGCGCAAGAAGCGGTGCTTTTTGTGAATGGTAAGGCGGCACCTGGGACACATGACAGATCCCAGAAGCCGCCGGACCAATCACAAAGCGCAAGTGCTTCTCGCTCATGCGCACTGGGCACCCGGCTGTCATGCCGAGCGCCATTACAGAAGCCGGGAAGACAGCGCGCGGCTGGATAGAGGAACAGGTAAGATGAAAGAACAACTCCGCGGAAGTGGGAGCGGGTACCTGTTCAGGTACCCCGCTTCCCCCCCCCCCCCCCCCCAAAGGTCAGCAGTCATCCCCTGTACTATCCACAGTCTCTGGTCATCCCTGTGCTGTCCGCAGTCTCTGGTCATCCCTGTGCTGTCCGCAGTCTCTGGTCATCCCTGTGCTGTCCGCAGTCTCTGGTCATCCCTGTGCTGTCCGCAGTCTCTGGTCATCCCTGTGCTGTCCGCAGTCTCTGGTCATCCCTGTGCTGTCCGCAGTCTCTGGTCATCCCTGTGCTGTCCGCAGTCTCTGGTCATCCCTGTGCTGTCCGCAGTCTCTGGTCATCCCTGTGCTGTCCGCAGTCTCTGGTCATCCCTGTGCTGTCCGCAGTCTCTGGTCATCCCTGTGCTGTCCGCAGTCTCTGGTCATCCCTGTGCTGTCCGCAGTCTCTGGTCATCCCTGTGCTGTCCGCAGTCTCTGGTCATCCCTGTGCTGTCCGCAGTCTCTGGTCATCCCTGTGCTGTCCGCAGTCTCTGGTCATCCCTGTGCTGTCCGCAGTCTCTGGTCATCCCTGTGCTGTCCGCAGTCTCTGGTCATCCCTGTGCTGTCCGCAGTCTCTGGTCATCCCTGTGCTGTCCGCAGTCTCTGGTCATCCCTGTGCTGTCCGCAGTCTCTGGTCATCTCCTGTACTGTGTCCGCAGTCTCTGGTCATCTCCTGTACTGTGTCCGCAGTCTCTGGTCATCTCCTGTACTGTGTCCGCAGTCTCTGGTCATCTCCTGTACTGTGTCCGCAGTCTCTGGTCATCTCCTGTACTGTGTCCGCAGTCTCTGGTCATCTCCTGTACTGTGTCCGCAGTCTCTGGTCATCTCCTGTACTGTGTCCGCAGTCTCTGGTCATCTCCTGTACTGTGTCTGCAGTCCATTGGTTCAGAATATTTTTTTCCTGTTTTTTGCCTCTAAAACCTAGGTGCGTCTTATGGTCAGGTGCGTCTTATGGAGCGAAAAATACGGTATTTGAAACTGTTAAATTGATGGGTTTAGTTCCGCTTTAATTTGAAAGTTTGTTGGGGCTTTAGCTCTTCTTACTTTAAGCTCCACTTATTTGGAAATTAAGAAACTGCAGTCAACATCTTCTTTTTTTTTTTTTTTTTTTTTTTTCTATCTGACAAACATTTCAAGTGGAAAGCAAACTTTTTTTTTTTTTTTTTTTTTTTTTTTTTTCTTCTTTTTTCAGTTTTGTCTAGAGTAGGCAATGGATAAATCCTTTGTCAGGTTATTAATGCTGATTGACTCTCTTTTGTGGAGATTGTGCCAGTGACTTTCTCCCCAGTAGAAGTTCTAACCACCTCCAAAAAGTTTTGCTGTAATTCTACTCATTTCATAAGGAGTCCAGGAATCCAGATCCTCCAGACAGATGAAAAAAAACAAACAAACTGTATAGTATGTCATATCATCATATGCAAAATATGACAATGACTCCTTTTACCTTCTAGTTAATGCTATTTGTTTCATTATCACCATAAACAGTCTGGTGACAAATGAGTCTAGCAAGAAACTACTAAGCTGATATTATTTGTATTTTTTTTTTTTTTTTGTACTATAAAAAAATTTAATTCCTTTATTCACATGTTCTTTATCTACAGGAAAGGCTTAAGGATTACATTTACAGCATAAATAATACACCAAAAAAAATATAATATTGATAATTGGATTAATAATTGGAACAGTGTTAATATTTTCTAACTTTATATAAATTGACAAAACATTTTTCTTTATTAAAAAATCATTTTTGGAAAACTTTGTGTTTTTTTTTTTTTCTCTTTCCATGAACCATCAATCATCACAACTGCTTAGTAACTGATACATTTCTATACATTTGATAGTGAAGTTCTATTGAGTCTAAAAGCTACCTGCAGAAAAAAAAAATTCCCAAAGACCGTTCAACAGAAAAATGTGGAGCATCTGATGCAATTCCAAACTTTAAAACAACTGATTTCCTTTTCTTTTTAAACCTCCTAAATAATAGAACAGCTTAAGTAATCATTTTAATTATAATTACATCGCTCTGAAAAATGTGACAACCTCTACCTAATAGAAAAATGCCAAAGGTGATCATTCCTTACGTTTTTGATGAGACATATTGCCAATTCCTTTACTGTCACCTTCAACAGATAAGAGTTGATACCTGACAAGATGAAACACAAAAATGCTGCAGTAGGTTCCAAATATTTTTTAATGGAACTATTTACAAGCCATAGTATAAGGAATACTGGCAAACATTAACATGAACACTTGTTATACCAGTTGTCTCATAGGGGTGGTGTCCTTCATGCTGTTTATACATGTGTTCTATTGGTTAGTTTGTGTTTTCACTTGTTTTAAAGTAAACCTGTGCTGTGTACATATCAGACAAAGTAATGGGGAGTCTGGATCCACACCTTTTTACTTTTTGCTGCATTTTTTAATTCCTTTTTTTTTTAAATTGGTGAAAACACGTCAGATGTATTTGACACACATGCTGTGCTGTATAATGATCACTGCAACACACATTTCTATTAATTTTAATAGAAAACTCATAAGGCACAACCACAAAAAATGCACCAAAATACGTACCATTTGGGTATTATTAAGCCTACAAGATATACAGCTGCCAATATTTTTCAATGATCGCTCTGCGCAGTTCTAGCAACAATTTTGTGCATGGAAGCCTGGTTTGCATTTTTTTGCAATGTATATTTAGGCTGGCTGACTATATCAAAATGGTCTCTCTGGGGGAATAAGATGGCTGCATCTATAAATATACAGTTTCTATAAAATGTGCAGATTTATGTTAACATATTTGCTAAACACTGCAAATGAAAATATGGCAGTGTCACTTTTTAAAAAGCATACAGGTTCACTGGTCTGCTGTAAAATTAACCACTTCCTGCCCGGACACTTTTACCCCCTTCCTGTCCAGGGCAATTTTCAGCGCTATCACACTTTGAATGACAATTGCGCGGTCATGCAACACTGTACCCATATGAATTTTTTAGCATTTTTTTTAGACAGATAAAGCTTTATTTTGGTGGTATTCACCGCTAGGATTTTAATTTTTTTGCTATATAAATGAAAAAGTCCAAAAATTTTGAAAAAGTGTTTTTCTTATAAAATTTTGCAAATAAATAATATATTTCATCATAAATCTTGGCCAAAATGTATTCTGTATACCCATATGAATTTTTTAGCATTTTTTTTAGACAGATAAAGCTTTATTTTGGTGGTATTCACCGCTAGGATTTTAATTTTTTTGCTATATAAATGAAAAAGTCCAAAAATTTTGAAAAAGTGTTTTTCTTATAAAATTTTGCAAATAAATAATATTTCATCATAAATCTTGGCCAAAATGTATTCTGTTATCTTTTTAGTAAAAAAAAAAAATACGCCAAATTAGTTAACCAAAAATTATAATTTGTAAACTTTTTTTTACATTTTTATTTTATTTTGTTTTTTATTTTTTTTTTTTTTTTTTTTTACATACTGTCACCCTAGCAGTACAGTG